GTAGAGAGAAACTCCAGGTTAATTATTAAAGGGAAATTCCAGAGGTAAAGACCCAAAGTGAATTAGGGAGTGAAATAATAAGTTGAACATCAGATTACTGAAATGTGGTAAATAACAGCAGAATTCAGGAAAAACCCAGAAACCCAGAAGGTGGTTTTGCTTTAGGCTTGGTAAATAGGAAGTTTGGAATGTGTGAAATATGTCTTGCTAAATAGGAAGCTTGGGACATGTTGTGGTAAACATCATTTAAACCCCTAACAAAGGGAAAATCCGGAATATTGTCTTTGCTTCCGACTTACTGCTTTGTTTATTAGAAATTGCTATTTGTGATTATTGACTGCTGATTCTGCTTCTGTCGCATATACTGCCACCTGTGTGTGGCCCTTTTCCTTTTATAAGCCATGCCGTGGGAGAGCTTGGCTGCTAAACTCCACTACCCAACGAGTGGGGTGTAGTCACTGCATAGCTAATAAAGACTCCTCGCCCTTTTTTCTGAGTCGGTGGATGTTTTTGCAGGAACCAGGATTCTAGAGTCCCACTGAGTCATGAGAATGGCATTTCCAGATGTTGTCCTCTTCTTTTGGCATTAGGCATACCTGGTCCTTAGTCTAGTTTTATAGCCACATCTGTTTACTCTATATGCACACTCATTAGACTTCTAACACAACAGGAAGAAGGCCTGGCTGGAGGATGATGGGAGAAGCTTCCTCATTCCTTTGGCAGTGAATGAGCTGGCCTTTGCATTGAGGAAAAGAAAGGGGAACTGCACTTGGCAGAGACTATGTGGCCCTTCCCAGCACTTTTGTTCCTATAATGCCACAGGCTCCTTGATGCCCTGCGTGTTCACTCAACCAACGAAGAGTCAGCGGAGAGGTGGTGTATGTACAAGCCATCAAGCAATCAGCACCAAGTCCTAGGGAGGAAATTTGGAAGGAGCCTCATATTAAAAAAAAAAATGACCCAAAGAGGACTCCATTGGATTCTTCTTTGGGCTCCTCTCCACACAAGAGTCTGCTTTCAAGGTTTTCCTTTAAGTTCTCAATAAACTTGCTTTGTCTTCATTACTTTCTTCCCCTTTGTTTATTTAAATTTAGTTAATAGTTTCCTATCTTTTAATAATTTAAAAACTATTAATTATCAATTATTTAAATGATTGTTTAATTATCTCCTAGACAGCATCAGTTTTACCCAACTGAGCCTCCTTGAGCCCTGTAACAATGGACTCTTCTGTGAAAATGTTCCCTTCCCTCAGAGAAGATTCCCCTCCCCTCAAGCAGAACCACTGTCTTTCTTTCAAATGTCCATGGGGAGGAAGCAAGGCTGATTCCATGGACAGGAAGGGGGTTGGGGTGGGGGCAGCAAGATGACAATCCAGTAGGCAACTAAGGGTAGAACACTGACCTTCTGAAGACTCATGAGGAAGCCAGTTGAATATATCAAGTGCCTGGAAAGTTCCCAGAGCCTTCCAATAGCTCAGAAAGTGCTTGCCAACACCACAGCAACATCCTACACCCTCACATTGCCTCACAAAGCACTTCACCATGGGCTTGACACACAAGTCTAGGCCCCATCCCTCAGAAAGCCAAGCACACACCAGGTACAACCTTCCTGCTTGCTACTCAGTAGCTAGGATGACAGGCTTAAGCCACTGGCTTCTAGTTAGACTCTGTGGATTTTTATCAAAGCTACTAAATTCATCTGTGATCACACAAAGTTAACTTGCAACCTCAAAAAAGAGAGAAGTGGTGAGAGGGAAAAACTGGGAGAGAGCATGAGGGAAAGGGTGACATTCTCCAAAAAGGAATGCACTCTGATTTAACTGAAACCCCTTGGGACGTCACCTTTATAATAACAAAAAAAGAGAGACATTATGGGAGGGAAAAACTGGGAGTGAAGGAAAGGGTGACAATGTCCAAGAAAAAACATACTCTTTACTTGACTTATATAGCTTGTAACCCCTCTGTATAACATCTTTATAATAACATTTTTTTAAGGAGACAAATGGAGATGTAGCTCAAATAGTAGGCTGCAAGCTTTGAGTGAAAAAGCTAAGGAACAATAACCAGCCATGGAGTTCAAGTCCCAGTACTGACACAAAAGAGAGGGGGGAGGGGGAGGAGGGAGAGGAAAGGAGAGGAGAGGAGAGGAGAGAGGAGAGGAGAGGAGAGGAGAGGAGAGGAGAGGAGAGGAGAGGGGAGAGGAGAAGAGAAGAGAAGAGAAGAGAAGAGAGAAAAGAAGAGAAGAGAGTAAGGTGCTGGTGGCTCATGCCTACTCAGGAGGCTGGTATCTGAGAATCACAGTTTGAAGCCAGGCCTGGGCAGGAAGTCTGACAGACTCAAGTTTCCAACTAACCAACAAAAAGCCAAAAGTGGAGCTGTGGCTCATGTGGCAGAGTACTAGCCTTGAGCAAATTAGTCAAGGGACAGCCCCAGGCTGTGATTCCAAAGCTTCAGCACTGACACACTGACACACACACACACACACACACAGACACACACACACACACACACAGAATTAGAGCCAAGTCTTCAGTGAAAAAGCTAAGGGACAATTTCCAGGTCCTGAGTTCAAGCCCCAGTACACACACAGACACACACACACACACACACACACACACACACACACACACACAACTAGAGCCAAGACAGTCATTTTTTTTTCAATTTTGTCTTCTCAAGAAACAGCTAACAGGGCAGGATTTGTGTAGACTTGTATTAGGAAAGTCCTTTAGCAGCTTTGACAAGAAAGTTATAGATAAAGCACAATCCTGCAGTAGGGCTAAGAATTGGGCTCTGAAATCCCCCAATGATCTTTGCAAAGTGCCAAGCTTTTTTGTTTCTTTTTGTTTTTGTTTTTTCAAATTAAACATCTTTTGAGTCCAATAAGAATAAGCACTAGCCAGGCGCCAGTGTCTCACACCTGTAATCCTAGCTACTCAGGAGGCTGAGATCTGAAGATTGTGGTTCAAAGCCAGCTTGGGCAGGAAAGTCCCTGAGACTCTTATCTCCAATAAACCACTAGAAAACTGTAAGTGGCGCTGTGGCTCAAGCAGTAGAGTGCTGGCTGTTAACTGAAGAGCTGAGGGACAGTGCCCAGGCCCAGAGTTCAAGCCCCACGACCGACCAAAAAAAACAAAAAACAATAAGCACTAATGCAAATCACTGTCTGTGGACTGGTAGTTGACTAAAACTCCCATAGGATCTTCTATATTCATATAATTTATTATTCACACTGAAGTACTTTTGAAAATAAAATAGAGCAATCCTAAATAATTATGCTGAGAGAAGAGATATAAACGAGAATGCTTGGGCTGATCAGCATGCGTGGCCATCCTGTGTATTACGTAACATGGCCTCACACGGAAGTCTAAACTCTGCCACCCAGGACCCATGGTTCCAACTTATACATGAACCACTCATTGCCTCATTCTATGAATAATTTTTTCTCAATTATAAGGTAACAATGATAATTACTTCCCTTTATCTTATAAAAATAACATAAGAAGAGGTATAAAGCAGCAGAGACGTGGAAAGTAGTTCAGTGTCTTACTATTACTTTTTAAGCCATCTTTCATCCAGTAGGATATTATTTCTAACATTATTTAACATCATCTACAAAGGTTCTAAGAATCTGGCTTCTAAATAAATTTCTAAGAAAGGGATTTATTCTCAGAATCAGCAACCTCTGTTATCCACCACAGCCAAAGTAGAAAGACAGAACTGTTTCTCAGTGAAATCTCAGTTCGTTGCAACCATTACCTCATGAAACAGATTTCTATGAGGGCAAATCCAATAAACTGCTAGAATCTTCATATATGTTCAAGCTATCACTAGCATAACTCAATCCCCAAATATGTGGCCTGACTCCAAGAACAGTATTATTTTCTCACCTACAAATGAAAGATTTAGGATTTTTACAGGGCAAATTTATAAATGACTAATGAGTTGACTGGATTCTCCAAAAGCTAATGCTTATAGCCATTCCATTCACATGCTAGTACATTCAGTTAGCAACTCTTTCTGAGTTTTTGTTTTAATGACAGTACTGGGGCTTGAACCCAGGGTCTGGGCACTATCCCTTAGCTTTTATGCTCAAAGATTGTGTTCTACCACTTGAGCCACACCTTTACTTTAGCTTTTTGCTAATTAATGGGGAATAGGAATTTCATGGACTTTTCTGCCTGGGCTGGCTTCCAACCACAATCCTCAGATCTCAGCTTCCTGAGTAGTTAAGACTACAGGAGTTAATCACCAGCACCTAGCTATAAATAAATATTTTTTTAATCTAATTTGCTATGTGAGGACAGGGCTATGAGGCTAAGCATGTTATAATAGGCTGGATTACCTGCTGTTCTACAACCTATTTCTATAATTCTCAAATCTCCTTTATCCAAGAAAGCTTAAACACTCCTTTCATCATCTTTTCTCTGAAACCACTGTTAGGAAAATGGAGGAGAAAGTACAAGCCAGACTCATCTCAATACGCCAGGACTGGTTATTGAGGAACAGCAAGGGGCAGCAGCTTTCCCACAGAATAAGGGGTTGTGTGAGGTGGTGGGGCTGGAGTTATGCTTTTATGGGGTCTGAGCAAGGAGAATGAAGTTATTGAAAAGGCTATTGGGGCTTGGGAGGCAGGGACTATCTGTTAGGCCCACAATGGAATGTTTATGGCCAAGCTTAGGTCAGATTGTCCTGCCTGCACATCAAGCACATCTATACATACCTGGGTTTTTGCCTGATGTCCCTATGCACCTGGGATAATAAGGTGGGGGTCAATCCTTCAACCACCATAACAGCTGATGCCAGGCCTTATCAGAATCCTAGACAGAGCTGGTGTAATGCATTAAATGGCACATCTGACTAGAACCTGAACCTGGGAGGCCAGGACAGCATTTAGAAGCGAAGAAAAATGGTCTCAACAAAATACTGAGAATCTATGAGAGCCCAGGAAAGATTTACTTCTTGAATAGTTCAGTGAAGTGTTTTCATTCTTTTATGGCAATGGAGAGTCTTCCCTCCACAGAGAAGGTCAGAGTTTGGCAAGGTGAGATCAGTGGCAGGTAGGTGTTTATCTCCCCACTAGGCTTGTACGCTGCTCAGCTCTGGGACACTCCTACCGGTTGGAATGCTGGGCAGTCAAAAGCTATCCAATCAGAGACAATATGCAAGCATTTGAGGCTGACTGGAAAAAAAAAAGGCTATGTTTTCCTATTAAAAGTCAACACAGGCAGAGGCTAGTGGCTCACATCTGTAATCCTAGCTACTCAGAAGGCTAAGATCTAAGGATTGCCAGCCAAGGCAGGAAAATCCATGAGACTCTTATCTCTTAACTACCAAAAAGCCAGAAGTAGAGATGTGGTTCAAGTGTTAGAGTGTTAGAGTACTATTCCCTTTGTTTTTTCGGTTTTGGTTTTTTGGTGTTTTTTTTTTTTTTTTGCCAGTCCTGGGGCTTGAACTCTGGACCTGGGCACTATCCCTGGGTTCCTTTTACTCAAGGCTAGCACTCTACCCCTTAAATCACAGTACTACTTCTGACTTTTTCTGTGATTAATTGCAGATAAGAATATCACAGACTTTCCTGTCCAAGCTTGGTTTGAACCACTATCCTCAAATCTCAGCCTCCTGAGTAGCTAAGATTACAGCTATGAGCCCAGTTTAGAGCACCATTCTTGAGCAAAAAAGCTAAAGGACAGCACCCAGGCCCTGAGTTCAAGCCCCAGTACTGGTACACACACACACAAAGTCAGCCCCAAGTATCCTTTTCTTCATCTAATAACAGAAAAGATGTAGGGCCTGTGCTTGAACTCACCCCACCCTTTTAAGGTTTCCTAATAGTAATAACTTGCCTCACTCTGGACACTTATGGTAAGTCTGATCCACTGCAAGCAGCAGTAAATGAAATGGAAGGAACTAAAGAAATGGATGTAGACCACACATGTGCAAGAAGAAACCTTACACTGTAAGGCAGAACTAGATCACTGCAGGGTAGAGACGAGTGAGACCCAGTACCAGAACAGCTGCTAAAGGACACAAACTCAAGACTCAATCCCCAAGCACCAAAATCAGAACCTCTGAGGCTCAGGCTCAGACACTGGCAACAGGCATTCTTAAGTAAACAGGGATTCTGTGTGTGTGTGTGTGTGTGTGTGTGTGCGTGTGTGTGCATGCTGGAACTAGGGCTTGAACTCAGGGCCTGGGCACTGTCCCTTAGCTTTTTCACTCCAGGCTGGAACTCTACCACTTGACTCAGCTCCACTTCCAGCTTTTGCGGGGTTAACTGGAAAGCAAAGTCTCACAGACTTTTCTGCCTAGGCTGGCTTCAAATCTCAATCCTCAGATCTCAGCCTCCTCTATAGGTAGAATAACAAGAGTGAGCCACCAGCACCTGGTTTCAACAGGTATTCTTAAGCATACCAAAATCGAGAGCTGGGAGTTAGCTACTCTGCTGCTAAGTTCAAGCTACAGTCATCTCTTTTTTGTTGTTGTTGTCAGTTATGGGGCTTGAACTCAGGGCTTGTGCTCTGTCTCTGAGCTCTTCTGCTCAAGGATAGTGCTCTACCACTTTGAGCCATAGTGCCACTTTTGGTTTTTGAGTGGTTCATTGGAGATGAGTGTCACAGGGACTTTTCTGCCCAGGCTAACCTTGAACCGCAATCCTCAGATTTCAGCCTCTTGAGTAGTTAGGATTACAGGTGTGAGCCATTGGTGCCTGGCTTGAAGTTGTCTTTACTTCTCTTCCTATCATAAGGCCAGGACAAATAAAGATAGAAGGCTCAAAGAATGTGTGGCTATTCAGTGAAAGGACCAGTAATGACTGGGATGTTGGGATTCTGAAGGAGTATGGAGAAGAACATGAGTAGACACCAGTGCCTTGTTGCTCTGTAGAGAGGCTCACAAAGGAATATGTTGTCAGGCCTTGCAGGTTACTCAAGTTCTAGTTAGAATTTCTTGGAGCTCCACGTAGGGCTATTTCTCAAGAAGGGACACTGCAGAGCCTGGTTCTGTCTACTAATCCCCTGGAGCCCTAAGGTTATAATTGCCTGATTGCTACAAAAGTATGTCCCTTAAAGCAGCAATACCATATTCCCTTACCTCAAATTCCCTATTTTTGTATTTCATCTCTGTTGTAATTCTCAAGCAAGGGTTTTCTGGGATTGAGCTTGAAAATTAGTGGAATAAATTGCTGGAACACAGTTGGAAGTCAAAGGGTCAAAAGAGTCCACAGGGTTCCGGCTTGGACCCAAGAAAGGTGAAGTGGTTTTGAGGTCCAGCTTCCTTATCCTAAACAAAAATTACCAGGGAAAATTAGGAAATTACCAAAAAAAAGTCCTTCCTACTCCACTCCTAATTTCCAAGGGAAAAAGCCATCCACTTCCTGAATAATTTGGGTACTCTGCTTCTTCCAGGATAAATAGCTCTTTGAAAGCAAAGTAACAATGATCTGAAAACTGCTTCCCAAAATGAACAACAAAAACTCAAAGCAGAAATATGATATGGGTCTGGCGCCATCTGGTGTGTTTGAGACCAATATGATGGTACATTCTATTATATGGTGACACACAGAAGACAATGTGTGAGCATTACAATAGCATCAAATTACCACTGCTGTCTATGCTGCCAATTTTGGAGCTGGGTACCAGAAGTTCATGCCTGTAATTCTAGCTACTCAGGAAGCTGAAGATCACAGTTTGAAGCCAGCCTGGGCAGGAAAGTCCATGAGAATCTTATCTCCAATTAAACACCATAAAACAACAAAATACATAATAAAGCTGGAAGTGGAGATGTGGCTCAAGTGGTAAAGCATGAGCATTGAGTGAAAAAGTTAAAGGACAGTGCCAAGGCCCTAAGGTCAAACTCAAGTGCTGATAATTTTAATTGCCACTTACTATTTTTATGGCTTTTTTTTTTTTTTCAGAGCTGAGGACCGAACTCAGGGCCTGCGCTTGCCATGCAGGTACTCTTCCGCTGAGCTAAACCCCCAGCCCCAACCACTTACTATTTTTAGTAAAAAAAAAAAAAAATATATATATATATATATATATATATAGCATGCACAAGGTTTTATTAAAACAAAAAACAAACTCAATTAAAATATACTCAATCCTTTCTTAA